CCCCATGTGGTTGGAAAGTTGTCTGTTTCAATGGAGGCATTTACTGATGGATTTGGAAAGGTGATGTTAGTCGAATGGGGATACGAAAAATTCTGTATGATCCTGAATTTGCCTGGTTTTCCCGGTTTTGGGATGATCGATAACGGAGAGGATTGGTATGGTCCTATTAGGTTTTCCAATGCGATGGCTGAAAACGGCCTAAGTACCCTCCCTTTGCGTAGTTCTTTCTGATGATGCTATTAAACTTGCTTGCATACTCGATAATCGAATCTCTATTCGGGGGAGCTTGTACACTGTTGATAGAAGGAAAGTCTATTTTGAAACCTAAAAGGAAACCCTCTGGTATCTTAACAAAGTGTTTGAGTAAACCCACCCGTTGTAGCTCTCGTCTCCAGGTGTCAGCTTTGTATGGGTCAGCGGGGTACTAGCTTTCTGTGCTCTAGGACACTTCTGAGCTTCGTGAGTGGCTGCTCCACACCCTGAGCATATGTGGCGTGCATCATGTTTGGGAGTGGTGCAGCCCTCGTCTCGTTGCCACGCTGTGCAAATTTGTTTTCCGTCCTTAGTCCAAAGACCCTTGCGGACGCGCTCTGAGAAGGTCTCGAATTGCTTGTCCCACGTTTGAGCAGCGACGCACTCGACCGTGCGATGGGGGTTTCTCCCGAGGCAGACTGCACAGCAGGGTAATGGTCCTGTGGCAGCAAAAGGACGAGAAGGTCGTACCTTCTTGTTGCTGCTTGCGGTGTCTTCCCCTGGGGTGTATGAGCGTTTAAGAGACATTGTGGGCTGCTGCGGTTGCGTCCATAAGAGGTCTTGGTTGTTGGCAATGTATGCCGTGGCCGCTTGCTCTGTTAGCGTGGGACGAGTTCGTGCATTATGAATAGAGTATGGTTGGTTTGTTCGATACAAAGTGCATGCGCGATGATCATGTTGTCCATCACGGATGGGTATTGGGGTGAGGTTTGACACGTGATGGTCATGGTTTTTCGCGATGAAAGACCGACGTAGCAGTTCTGGCATGTGTGAATGTGGTGAAGTTGAGGTGTTTATTGTTGGTGCACTGATTGGCCGACAGTAAAGCGAGTTACGTGTTGTAACATATCGCAGAGTTATTGGGAGGAATGATGAAAATGACATGATGATTGAATATTTGAAACTTTGAGCGTAGATCTAAGAGAAACGATACTGATGAATGGCTAACATTGTTTCCTTGTCTTGTTTCTCGTTGAACAACTCCTCTCAGGGCTTCGGTCATAAGGTCTTGATTAAGTTCTTCAAGGCTCCAGCTCTGTGCAGGTACCGACAGTCATGTGCCAGCGACGATCGCTGCTGCAACTGGTAGAGGAGCAGAGCTTTCTGCTTAAGAGGGTCTGGGGCAGTGACGCCAGCGGTGCATTTGGAGCGCACACCAAAATTGGATGTGCATTTAGGACTCAGGTCGTTAGGGCCAGTCATGGACTTTCATCGACGAGATCATGCTGGGGAGCTGCTTCATTGAAGTCCTCCCAAGAAAGGTTTTCGTCTTTGACAATGGGAGCAGCTTTCGGATCTTTCACTGCGGCTGCGGGAACCCACGAGTGTAACCCGTCAGGCGGATGGTAGCATTACCATTGCATCTGGTTCTGCCACTGAGGTTGGAGGTTTTGGCGTCCTCGAGGCCCTTGTTGGTAAAATAATGCAGCTCGCAGTAATCTCCCGCCTTTAGTTTCCTTAATGCATATTGCATAGGAATGATGGTTGGGTCAGATGGTACTTTTCCCTCACACTAGCAGTGCATATTTATTCTTGTTCATTTTCCTCTCTTCCCTGACGGGCAACTTCCTGCTCGTCTTTGAGTAATTACTGACGTTGTTCTTCGTCTTCCTCTTCTCGTTGTCTAATGTCCTGTAGACGTCGTTGTCTGAGGGCCCAACGCTCTTTGTCGGCGTTGTTGTTCACATTCCATAAGGCTGTTAGCGAACGAGCGGCTTGTTCTTCCGAGAGACCCTCGGCGATGAGTGGCTGACGCTCATCTTGGTGCTCTGGGGATGTGAAGTCTGGTCTTATGGCTTCGTTAGGGTCCTCCATGAGCATTACCAATTAAAAGGATGCAAAAAGACGTAGACACGAGTAGCTGACACTCGGAATAGGATAATACTGCGAGGTGGGCAGGAGCAAGAAGCGCTGCGCCACCTCGCTTATTTCGCGCATAGACTAAAATCTGTGCCGGCCTTGTTCCTTGGCCGGCTCAGATAACCAACTACCGTCAGACACAACCAGATTCGACTGGCACCGTAATCAAGTTACCCTAGGTCAACCGCCCCCCGACACATCACGTGACTTTGCCACACACAAACACTTCATGAGATGTTCAAGCTCGCTCATCAGTAAAACACCCAGTTCCTTTCCTTACTTATATTTAACTTTTCTTGTGCAACGAGTAGAAATAAACCTAGGTGGGGCCCTTGAACTCATACCACTACCATGGTCAGTTTTCCCACGCATTTTCGTGGACAAGGTAGAGCGACGCCCGCTCACAGGGAACAACTGGCTTCGAATAAACATCATAAATCAAACACTTAAAGCACACACACGAACATGCAGCCAACCTATATCAAAATCATACCAATAAAAACCCACAGAAAAACAACAGACGGTATCAACCCACAGCCAAATCTACACCACCATCACAAAATAGTAATAACACTAACATCTACCACCAAAAACTAAACCATCACGAGCCCCAAAGAAAAACATGACATATGATAAGTAATAAGTACATACTAACCAGTGAACAAAACAAAGTACACACGAAAACCCAAAACCCACGAAAACCCGCTCCCATGAGGTAAAAACCCAGGCTGCACATGCACAACAAGACCGCCCACCAGCTACACCCTTGTGAACTTCACCAACCCAAACCACGCCTAACACATACCACTGCAACACCTATTACATGAACACCCGGCCACTCCCTAAATATCCCTGAGACTTGCTACCCCCCAACAAAAATCAGATGGCACCGATAGAAACCCAGCATATATAAACTACACACAAACACCCAAAACACCACCCACCGGAGTGATGAGAGAAAAGGAAATAACCTCCATAAAATCCTCCTCACAAGCAACCCGCCCATATCCCCCCATCCCCCATCAACCTCTGAGCATACCCCACACCAGGCCACAATTCTTCCCACCCAATATCCTCCCAGAAGATGACAACATGGAATACACTCAACAGGAAACAACACAAACCCCTGTGCCATCCCCCTCCATGATGAACTCAACCAGGGTACTGCCGGAATCTCCAGAAACACCGACCCCATTGGCAAGAGTAACCCAGAAACCCCCAACATCAACCTCTGACCTTCCCCCCCTATCCCAACCTCCCCCTCCCCCCCACTGAGCCTGAAGTTATAGGCAACCTTGCAAAATCCATGCACACGCCTCAGAGTAACCTAGATGACCACTCTATGAGCGCACCAGAATCCCCCTCCCACCCTTACTCGCCTAATGAAGAGGAGAAGGCAATACTAGCCCACCTGGCCCTCTGTTATGATCAGCGTTCACTGAATGGCAAAGGCTTAACACAACCACTAGGACTCGTCAAGGATAAGAGCAAATATGATATTGAGAGTGAACATCTGAGTCTACACTGGGTAGGAACGAAGAGGTTAAGTCTAAAGAGAAACTACCCTAACTACCCTACCTATATACATAACATTGAATCGGAGATATCTGAGTCTGTAAGTAATCAACCAATGAGAAAGAATCGTACGATACTGCGGATGACGTAGTATGACGTCATGATATATAAGCAATGATGTCAGAGACGGAAATTAAGTGATAGGAAGACATATGGTTCTAGCCCTGGGCGTAGGGGATCCGATCGGAGATGTGATTGGTGAAATGTGAAGGGGTGAAGCTGTGACATGGTGATGATGTGATAATGTGAAAGGTAGTGGTGTCACGTGACCGGTTCGGGTATGGGATATAGCCGAAGGAAAACCGAGAAATGAAAAATGATTCGTATTGGGAATTCGTGACACCCTCACAGAGAAAAACCGCTCCACTGTCTGTCATGATGGCCCCAACCACTGCACAACTCTACTGCAATTCACCCCCACCCCCATAGGAGGATTCCCTTACATACACCCTACTCACTCAGCTGAATCCTTTGATCACCTCGACAATTGTGTCCTCCTAGCATGGTTCCAAGTTGAACACCCTAAATTTGTTGTACAAGTCTTTGACTACACAGGA